AAATTCTCGATATTGTTGCTGGTTGCTACTAATTAATTGAAATTCGAATTTAAATTAAAGTTAGCACAGGAAAACAAACCGCTTCTTCGGTCACAACATTCAACATCAATTCATTTTTCTAGGGAATTTTTCACATTTTCATCTCTTGCTCAAAAGTCTCGTCGATGATGCACTTATTCCAGCGATGCCTATTAAAATTTTCAGCATGAAATATTTTCCCTTTGAAAGCTCAGCTTATATTTTATCGTCACGGGTGGCCGCGACGGCGAGGCACCACCTCGCCTTCGCCATGCGCCCGTTTCGAACCCATTGCACGCCAAACCCAGCCCATTAATCTCCTAATCCACCACAAATACACAGCGCTAATTTGATGCCAGAATTTCCACAGGTTGTCCTGTATAACAACACACGATGTTTGTATTTGAGATTGTTTGATGTTTGGAGATTCAAGCTAAACTAACGGAAAATAAAGTTTGTTGATTGTATAGAAAGTGTTGTTAAAGTGTATGAACAATGCATTGATTGAAGCAAATTTATGAGTAGATTTTGTTGGATTGTTGTAGAAGAATTGCTAGTTGATTTTTTGGTGTGGGGATTATAAAATTTTAAGTAGTTGAGTGGAATTGTCCGACACCGTTTGTATTAAGAGAGTAAGTAGAATTCTTGCTGTTTCGCCGAGACCAAGAGGCTGTCGTTCCACTCCATATAGCGAATTTCCTATTAATATTCAATATTCTAATATTCTTTTGTGTTGGAGCTTTGTTTTTAGGCTTATACGAACACAAACTTTCGGTGTACAAACAACGAAATTTCGCAATTTTCTTTAGCGAAATAGTCTGACTACCTTTCTGATTAATTATGCTATTTTTCTCGAAACGAAATTGACGACAGTGTAACGTTTAATTACGCCGCTGTAGATAAAAATCTCGCTCCGATGGTTATCTTATTAGCGCAAACAAGGTTGAGAAAACGGTTCGAGGCACGCAAAAATGCATAAAAATGATCCACCTATTCGCTAATTGCCGATTATGTTCTATTTAAAGTTCACTAACAATGACTCTAGTAATTTATTTTACTGCAAACACGCTAGTCGAAGATCAAATTTGATTAAATTCACTTATTTTAATTGTTTGTTGAAGGTATGATTAATAAAAATACCTAATTAAAAACTCATGTAATATGTTGTTAATAACAGCATCCCGTTAATTTGGATTCTGGTTAGTAAGTTATGAGTAATTTGCGTTTTATAATAATAAGTTCGGTTTGCGAACCTTCGTGCAAGTGCATCTGTAAAAATTATTTCATGTAGATATAACTAGATCTCGCTTACAAGTACTTTTAATAAAGGCCTTAATTATCGGAGATTTCCTCCTCCGTTGAGGCGGGTAAAAAGAGCCGAGTTTTTGCTGACAGTGTAAACTGATCTTCTAATCTGTTCGTGTAATTGGCGTGTTTAACTGAAAATTTTCGTTCTGCGATCGCGCGAGTTTCTCGGAAATATTTAATGGGTGTTATTAGAGATGCATCTCGATTTTTGTTCTTTTAATTGCAATTATATAGCATATCTCCGAACGTGTACGATACGAAATTCGCTCGTGTATACCCTCGAAATCGCTAATTAAAAACCGACGACTGCGGCACTGAATGCATATGAAATCAATTTATTATATTTCTGAGAAGTCTGCCCATGTAAACACCATTTGTTAAGTCTCTTTCGAGCAAGTTTCATTCTTGTGGACCGCAAGTACAAGAAATTGGCCAATATTTACACTATACACATTTCGATTTATAGATTAACTTCATGGAACAAAGTTTTATTTGTATTATTTACACGAAACTGTGACATTTATTGATACAATTTTCATCACTAACCTTTATTTTGGGGTGTTCTCCACTTAAAAAGTGTGGGGTCTCCTGCACTGCTTTCGTGTTCTCCAAGTGAAACTAGATGAAGAAACATATTCAAATACGTGGTAAGACTGTTGAGATTATTATGCTACTTTTGCTACACTATTTCAATAGTATTTCGGTCCACATATTGCACCGTTTGGAGAATTTAGTTACAAAGATGGATAGGTGTAAACTCATCTTGTGTCATCCATCTTTTTTACATAAGAATAAGCATTTTGCAAGACTGAATTCGATAACTTTACAAGTGTCTTGTGAGTCGTTTATATTGTCGATAAAATCAGCACCTATCACTTCCCTCCAGATAAACAAATGGCGCATTATTAATTTTCCAATTAACAATCTAATTAAAAAAATTTGCAGCTTATTATGATTAACTCGTAAGTACCGTTAGGCTCGATTCATCAAGCGACCGTTCATCTCTTACCCTTGAATAAAGTTTCCTCGACGATATTATCATAAAACGAACGAGAAACGGCGGATCTCGTTCAAGTTGGATTTCCAAAGAGACCAACGCGAGCAAAGTTAAATAGGTCACGGAAAAAATCAATACCTCGTTGAAGGAAAAAGGAAAAAAGCGAACAAAAAGAGGGAAACAAACAGCCAACGGAACAGAGAGAACAGGGACCACTGCGATGCACTTCGATTACGTGCGAGAAAACCAGCGGCGGATCGTCCTTCAGAGGAAGGACTCGTTCGATGATCGAACGGATTGCTCAATAAATAATTCAACCTATAGATTCTGGAGGTAGATTAATCAACTGAAGAAAGGAATCGACTGATTCCATCGAGGCAAAACGAAGGATTAACGGAGTGCATATTGCAGAAACTCAAATGTATTGATGTAACTCTTTCTTCAATTATCCTTCAGATTAATCAAGCAAAAGACGTGATTAATTTTACGACTACACGAATCCAAACTATTAGCGTTTGAGTTGATTATTCTTCTACGAGGAACCATTAATCAGGAAACCGTCATGCTGGGAAATATTCGATTTTCTTTGAAATGGCACTCCACTGGTGGAAACCCGACAAAGATGGTCTTATTCGTGTTGGAATGTTTATTGGAGTGTTTCTTTTGTTTGTAATAGTAGCAATAAAGGCATCAAAACAGTTCATTCATCGGCAGCTGTAAGGCAAATAGATAAGTAAAACATGGAGTTGTGAAACTCGAAACCAGTAAAAGAGCAACGCGATACAGCACAGTTTCAGAGCGTCTGCACAACAGTGCGGCGGCCCGTATCCTGAATAATGGACGGACGAAGCTGCATTATTTTAACAATTAAAATTAATTTCGCTTATCGAGAATTTTCTCCCCCGAAACCCGACTATTTTGATGGTTTTATTATAGCTATTCGCAGACCTTGAATCGAACGTTGACCGTCTGAAAAACGAGTGCGTAATGTAATTTTCTCGAGTTATAAGTATTAATAGATGCATTCTGGTGTCGTGAAAATAGTTGGCGAAAACGGAACACAAAGAACGGGACTGCAACTAAAAAACGGACGTTATAAATAAAATGCTATTGGGATAGGTCGGATTCGAATAGACTTGTCTAAAAATAAAGTATTTATCGCGATAATTTATTGTAAGCAAGTGCAGAAGGAGATTTAATTTACTCTGCTACTCGGACTCAAGTAAACTCTCTGTGTAGTAAATAACGAGAAATTTTAAAGATAAACTTCATAAATAGGTACGAAAAATAAGGTGCAGGGAAAATAAAAAACCAATATTATCATTTTTCCATTGTTCATATAAATAAGTTCAACATCATCTAAATATTACAATGACCATAAAGAAATAAGGGCTACATTATATTTAACAAGAATCAATCGCTAGTTATATTTCAATGAAAACTAGAATGCAGTTATATAAAATTGTGAAAATTCAAATATAACTAACGATAAAATATATATTTTTTATGGTTTAGGTATTCAAATACATATCTTACCAATGTTGAGATAAACGCTATTTATTTCGCATTTGCTAAAAAAATAAAGTGCCACAACTACATTGTTGCATATAAAGTCCACGAATTAAATCACATATAACATTTAAAAATAATTCACTAATACGGCAGCGCAACTTTAAAATATAAGACTTAATTTTAGGATGAATATATTATATTTTATTTAACAATTACACGCATTAAAGTAACAAGAAAAATGTATAAAGCAGAATGGAAAATAATGAAAATATCGGTGAAATGTCTCAGGAAAATTCATATTTTTGAACTATATTTTTTGGTAAATGAAATGTACTAGCTAAATCAAGATCTCAGTCCTCAACTACTCCTAGGTAACTAACTAGCTTAGTTTTTAGCTGTTATTAGTTTTAATCCTATTTTGTTTCTTTAACTGGCCATACTTATTGGAATAAAAACTTCCTTTTTATAATAACAAAAATAAAATGCGGAAACATTACGTTTTTCAGAATGTTTCATACATTAATTAGCAAATTTATAGTAAAAATTCGAAAGATTACATGTGATGTGTGTACAATGAGTATTACTGAAAAAATATAAACTTATATTACATCTTAAATTCATAAAAATATTTTTTTTATTTCACATAATTAGGCGAGAATAAAATTCCAAAAATCCAGATAACATAAATCAATTCGTTTCTATAAAATATGCATATTACTTAATGTTTGTACTATTTTGAAAATTGTATTGGCACAATTAGATACAAACTTAACTCAAAAATTACTAAATACAAGTAAATTTAATTTAATAAAACAAAACCGAAAGGTGATTCATTAGATTATGACAGTCTCCTTCTGTTTAAATAGGAAGAACAACACTATTATCACTACATAACAATTATCAAATACATTTGCTAATTCGTATAGATAAGTAAATACTAATATACTCTAATTTAACTGTATATTTAATTTAAGTTATCTGGATTTAATATTCCTTTTTTGTTTATTTAAGGCCAGTTTCGATGGCAATCAAATACAATAAATAAATAAATAGATAAGTCTTTTATAACAAAAACCGTCCTTAAATAAAACATGTGCAACAAAAAAACAGTGAAAACTCATTATTACACCTGCAATAAGAAGCTGACAATAGAAGCTAAAGACAATCACAGTATAAAAAACAAAAATATCACAATCACAAGAACTATAACTAAGACTAAAATAACGGTCCACTGTCTGCTATCTGAAAATACCAACAAAATTAATTATTCGTACTCACACTTTCTAAGAGAAGAGTGTTTTTACACGATGCAATAAATTGCACTGTGTAAAAATCTACCTACCATTGGAAAGCCGTAAAACTCTAGCGACCTTTTTCATTGTAGTGTCCAATTTCGAATCAGTATTTTCTAATTCTGTTCCAAACTCGTCTAACATCCTGCATAAACAAAATACGTTACATAATAATAAATGCAAGCCTGCAATTTCTTCATGTTTACCCAGCTTGTTCGTCCAATTCGACTCCTATATGTCGAGAAACCGTCTTCAACGAACCCAACGAATCGGCTATCGCCTCCAGATGGTCATCCTGTTGCCTAGTCAAATACTGTTGTTGACTAACAGTATCGTTCAAGAACTGTCTCTGAGGACTGTCGAGGTCGTTTTGCAGCTTCGAGTATTTTGTCGAGGAGTGAGAGTTTGTAACTCTCACCGGACTGCTGTCCAATAGAGGTTGCCTCGCCGTGCGGTCTTTGTCGCGTCCCCTGTTCATGTTGATCTTTTCTTTCATTGACTAAAAAAGCATATGAATGTAGTGTATGAGTCGCAACATTCGCTAAGAGTTAGGTTACCTTAACTTCGTGTTTTGTAGCTTCGATGAAGTGCTTCCTATAAGTCAACTCCTTGTTGTCTATTTTGAACTTGGTCGGGTTTTTCTCGACAATATGTAAGCGTTATTAAGGAACAATGTCAGTAAAAATAAGAATAATGTTGGTACACAGTATTAGAAAAGGATATCGATTGTGTCTTCCAAATCTTCTAAATCCCACTCAATACTTCTTAAAGAGTTCTTAAGTTCTGTATTGGTCCATTCAATTTCGTCCTTAGTAAGGCATACAGTGTCCTCGTGAAGTTCCTTCCATCTAAGGTACAGTCCCCTAGTTTTGTTTAATGCCTTGAACACCTCACTTGAACAAACAACCATAGAATTGTATTAACCAAGGCATGTCTTTGTATTAAGGCGAACAAAATAAGAAAATCTACTAATAAAAAAAAAGAAAAAGAAATTACCTAATTATACTGCATGCATTTATTCAAGCTGCATTGAAGCTTAATCAAAAAACATACATCTGATCATGCAAATGCTCATCTTGCTTACTCTTTAACGACGAAAAAAGGATCCTCCAACGTCATGACAAATCAATAAAAAATTAGAAATGCAAGCGCTGTACTTGCAATTATATAGGGAACGATAAAACCATACGCCAGATGTTAGAATTATTTGAGAAATTAAATAAACAAGATGAAAATGTACATCTTTGATAAATCTCCAAGTTTGACACTTTTGACAGTCAATTGTCAATTAATTTGACATACGACAATGCTCGCTTGTACACCAGTCTAACCAACTGTTGCCTAATCAATAATTTCATCGAGTTTATTCATAGAAAAAACATTGTTTAAAACCTCCTATTACTAACAAATTCCAAATTTATTAATTAATAGAATATTTAATTTAACATTCTTTAATGTGCAGGATGGTGAAAATATGATGTATATTTTGAATTTGGCGCTTAAATGTATTTCCGGCAATGGCGCAAACTTACAGCCACTAAGAGAGTGATGGGAAATATAAAACGGTGCATGTAAAAGAAGGATAGCATGATAAATGGATTTGACGTATTGAAGTATGTCAAATTTTTATCAATCATGGCCTTTTCCGGTTCATGCTGAACACAAGCAGTCGTGAACAGTGTATATTATTAGAAAATAAGGTAAATACTTAGTAAATTTAGCTAAAATATTAATAATAACGTCTTAGAAAATGTTGTTGGTATTTAAAATTTATTATTGCAAGTAAAAATAAGCTCGCATACAAATATTACACATACACGTGGAAGCGGGCGCACGAAGTGCATATTATGTTATTTTACAGTGGTTTTCCTGTTACAATGATGATTCCAATATCTCTGACACCTCTTGGCAGAAACGTATTTGTTGATACATAAATATTTAGTCTGAAAATTCGAAAATAACAGAACTTATGGCTATTTTATTTTTGAGGTTAGTTACAGTAGTTTCATTTGCAGGTAATTCACCATGGAGGAAGACTGGTCAACGGAAGTCCAAGGAGGAGCTGTTGCTGCTCCGAAAATTGCGGAACTCCCCGAAATCAAATTATTCGGAAGGTGGAATTGCGATGATGTCCAAGTATCCGATATGTCCCTTCAGGTAAATGTTCAACAATTTAATGTTCAAATTGAAGAGTTTTACATGATGAAAAAACCTTTATATTTCTGACACCTCTACAGAATACCTTTGGTGATACTCCATTCTGATTGAATTTTTACAACTATTACCACAATTAATAAAGTTCAACGAATGTGTGTTCATATTCTATCTGTTTCCAGGATTACATTGCGGTTAAAGAAAAGAACGCCAAATATTTACCTCACTCAGCTGGTAGATACGCAGCCAAGAGATTTAGGAAAGCTCAATGCCCCATCGTTGAGAGATTAACAAACTCTCTTATGATGCACGGTCGTAACAACGGTAAAAAATTGATGGCCGTTAGGATTGTAAAACACGCTTTCGAAATCATCCATTTACTTACCGGAGAAAATCCATTACAAGTAAGTACTTATATCCGAGTATTATAACGATCAAATGTACCCCTTTTATGATGAAACCTTATTTCTGACACCTCTTCAGAATTTACATTGTTGATTTATTTTATAGCTGATACGATTCGAATAAATCGCCTAATTATTAAGTATAAGACTCGGAGCTGATGTATTAATTGTTTTTTAGATCCTCGTATCGGCGATTATCAACTCCGGACCACGTGAAGATTCCACTCGTATCGGTAGAGCCGGTACTGTAAGGAGACAAGCCGTCGACGTGTCGCCTCTACGTAGAGTCAACCAAGCCATTTGGTTGCTTTGCACCGGAGCCAGGGAGGCTGCGTTCCGTAACATTAAGACCATCGCCGAATGTTTGGCCGATGAGTTGATCAACGCAGCAAAGGTAATTTGGAGGTTGAATGAGTACATTTGAAAAAATTCGTCTGTCCTCACTAATGCTGGATTGTTATTCCATAACGATTGCCGTTTCGCTTGAGGACTACAGTATATCAAATTTTACCATACATAAAGCTGTTATGTTTTAATGTATAAATATCTTTGGTACAACTGTACTTTGTTAGGTTTCGATGGTTCCGATTGTAGAAAGAAATGGGGGAGATTATTTGAGAGGGGTAGAAGTTTAGGATTGTTTTACTTCATTTTTCTCATCCAATTTAATTCATTATTTCTTCGTCAAGTTTGTATTTAGAGAAATTTGATTATGTATATTACATAGTGTTGTGTGTTTAGTGTTCAAAATGCGGATAATTGGTTTATATGAGTTAAACGTAGGCATTGTTTTAATTAATATCCAATAATTGCAAGTTATATATCATTTATTCTTCGATGCTAGAAGCCATAAGGTAAAGGAACTTATGGGTAAAATATTAGAATGAATCGAGTTAGTAATCGTTCCCATCAATATTGATGATGAAATTTTAATTCTCCCTCTCTTTCGTTAAATTGGAACTAAGAAATTTGACATGTACATTCTAACATGGGTTAGCAAAGTCACTGATTATTGTCCTAATACCCAAAATTTGGACAATTTTACTGGTTATAAACCAGTAATCATCAAATAATGCATTTAATAATAAATGTATTTTTGAAACACTATAAACCCAAGCGGTAAAGAAAAGAATTTATTAGTCCTTTCCTATGCTACTTGACTAATTTCATGGTTTTGAAGTATTATAAAGGACAAAATAATATGCAAAACCTTACCATAGAAATATTCAATGTGGGATATTTTTATCATAAAATTTTGCTACAATGTATGTATTAATTGCGTTGTAATGGTGTTTTTACTATCGACTATAGTCTCTAAACTAATATATTGTTTCAGGGTTCGTCAAATTCATATGCTATCAAGAAGAAGGATGAACTTGAACGTGTAGCCAAGTCCAACCGTTGAGATGTTTACCGATTACGCCTGTTATTGGTTTGCATTTTTTTATAAATTATGTTCCCCATAATTTTCTGTTTTTTTTTTGACTAATTCCTCTTTTCTTCGACAATTTTACTACACATACTGGTGAACAAATAAATAAATGTAACACCCATCATAAGTAATTTGAAATTGTCTTTCTCATTCCAGTATGTGCGGTAATTAAAATTGGGCAGTTATTCAATTACTAATTGGGCTTCTTCTTGAAATATACTCTGTACCTAATGTTTGTTTATTCGGTTAATTGGACAATGAAACAACTGTAAAAACATGAACTTTTTATTCAACCATTTTCACAAACGAGTACTCATGTTGAACTTGGATATTAAGCGTAACAATAGGGCAAAATTAACCCGCTCATGTCTGTATACCTTCCTACATGTCATTCTCTAAGCAGTCTTATTTGAAACACATCTTATGGTTAACCCTGTTAGTTCAACTGTATGGTCCTAAAAGTTTTAGTTAGATTTTTATAACGGTTATAAAGATTTAGACACCTTATAAGTTTAATTTCAGACATGTACTGGTATATGCGGTACACATTTATGGGTTTTAATTATTACACAGTCGATGTTGGATTTTTTTATTAAATTTTAATATTTTTCTTTGCATAAATTGCTTATTTGATTTAATACGAAAACAATTTTGTATGATTAAGTTTTCTATTATAATATTAGGACCTGCCTAATGGGAATGCCTGCGGGCTCCAAAAATTTAGACGAAAAATTGTCTTCTAGACCAGCTAGTTGTTGCTTATCACAATTGAATATCACATTCTCATGAGCCTTTAAGGATTAAATCAAATAATTTATTTATACAAAAATGTGTTTTTATTATTTTTGTACTCGCGAGTTTTCAGGCGCCCTAGAGTTAGGACAATAACGTTACAGTATTCGATTTTTATTTTTTAAATATTTTTTCGTTTTGTGGCGCCTATTATTTATTAAATTAATAAAAAAATCCAAGCAACAGAAATCGAAAAATCAACCCGTTAAAAAAATAACTTTAGTATATTCAATATTGTATTGTTGCGATGTTACATTTATTAGGCGATTAGACGAAATGCGAGATTGATTTTTCTATGAAAATTTGCAAGTACATGTACTCTGAATGAGTAGAAAAGATGTTTGAAAATGTTCATACTTAGAGTTAGAAGTTACGTTTACTTTTTGGGAAGGTGAACTAGTTCTAGAATTTTTTTGATTACTGGAATTTAATCTAATTCAAAAATTACATAAATTTCAGAGTAAACATCAAAATATATCTTCAATACAAGTTTTTTTAATCAGATTATGTTAATCATATTTTTATTTGGTTTTCTATACATGATATGCATGTGTGTTGATTTATTTAATTATATGTACTTTTAATGTTCTTATTATCCAAGATCTCAATTTGAAAACGAGGACAGTAATTTATGTTTATCCTCTTAACACAAGTTTGCATTTTTTAACAACACTGAAATTTATAACATTATTCATTTCGATTTTATGAATAGCAAGTATTCCTTGCTTTTTTAATCACACAATATGTCCTGTGATTTAACGTCCGATGTTTCGATTAATTTGAATCGCTTGTGCGAATAATTTACTCTGAATTTTGTGTATTTCTTTAGGTCTGTAGGATCAACAGATAAATCCTTGATAATAATATCTATCTAGGATTTTTGACTATTTATTTCCGCGAGGACCTTCTACAATACATACAGTACATTACAAAACGAATCACATTCAACAGTTATTACTGATTTATGTTTCCAAGACTATCTTCTTACAAGAACGTAAATATCAAAAGACTTGCAAAGATTTTGTAAAGCGATAAAATTAGGCCACATCTTTTTTCGCAAGTATATTGCCACTGAATTGCGATTTTTCCGGGATTTTCCAGCGCAGTGTGGCTCTGTACTAGTAAAAAAAAATAAAAAGTATAATGGAGTGATAACTTCTAATGTTTGTTCATTTTTTGGTTCTATTTGTCCATTTATTTGACTTATTAATACACCTTTTAATAACAATAACACATTTGATCTACAAACATTTTTAGCTATATTTAGTTATATACTTTTCTAATAAAATTTGAACGCAGAGGAAGTTATCACTTCTGTAGAGCGTCATGTTAGGCACAAATTCTTTTTTTCCATAAAAAATGTGATGGTATTTCTCCCTATATCATTTCGCTTTGCATTTGATGAGATAAGTTTTTCATATTATGGAAAACTAGAACAGTGACAGACATTACAAAATTGACTTCTCATCGTGGACTGAACGAAAATCGTTTTAAAATTGCACGTAAATAAACCGTCACAAACATAACAAAAAATAATTAAAATTAGGTACAGAAAATTGTACGATACGTTTCGATATAAAAAAAATGTATACACGCAACAAACTCTAAAAATAATAAATTAATCTTACACATATTATAGGAAGTTCGAAATCTAGCTATATTCGTCACATACACTGCGCACTTAGAACGTAAAAAAAAACCTCTAACAATCAATCGTAGTGACAACTAGAACACTGATGATTATTTGGCTTTCCAGTTTTCTGATGATGTATAAATAAATGAGCTTATCTAGTGAAAAAAGGGGGGGATGTCAGTCGAAGTGAATGTTGGTCCTTATTGCACGTTGGACGGTGAGGTCCAGGGCCCTAAAGGCGATAGGGGTAACCGTCAAAACACTGAAACAAAAAATTTATATAGACTAATATCATTCACTCTTCGTCAAAATTGGTAGTGGTGGTGGTACAGAAAATAAAACAGCAATTATTTGTATTTTCCTTTATTGGTCGTATCGCCATTTTCACTAATATTAACGAGATCTTCGTCGACGAGCAATTCAAAATCGCCGAGACTTCTGGGCGAGGGGATCTTATTCCACCTAACATCGGGCATTCCGGTTGGCGGTATGACGATGTTGAAGATGTTATCGATCAGCTTGTGCTTCAGTATCCTGTCGTTGACCGTGGTGGAGGTCAACGAGGGCGAGGCGTTGACTTCGATGAGCCACGGTTTCAGTTTGTTGTCGATGATGATGTCGTAACCGTAGCATTCGAAGCAATGCCTGTCGGTGGCGATCACGGGAGCGATGGCTTTGAGCGAGTGTATTATCAACCAGCTGATTTGGTCGAAGAGCTTCTCGGTGACTTGCTTGCCTCGCGTGCTTTCCAGGTGCAATCGGAGGTTTTGCACGCTCAATTTTCCGCCGTGCAGGGCGTTGTATTCGCCTCCGTGTCGTTGTACGGAAACGTTGGTCAAATGCACGTACATGTTGTCCAATTCGGCGACGCTCGAATCGTATTTTACGGTACAAAATCGGCAGAAACCGAGCCGGAATTGGTAGGCCTTCAGCGGTCTGAAGGAAGTGACCAAGACGTAGAGCCGCAAGTCGAATTTCTTACCGCCGATTAACAGAGGATTGTCGATGTATTTGGATATGACGTAGCTCTCTTTGGTGAGTTGTTGTTGGAAAGGAGTTTTGGCTTCTCTGGACCAACGTTTCAACTTCGATAGCTTGTTGATTAGGAATATGCCCGATCCTTGCGATCTTCCGCAAGGTTTCATGATCCACGTGCTCTGCGGAGCTTTCCTGTATTCTTCCACGAACATGTTATAATCGGCAGGTAGCACAAAAGTCACCGGTATAAAGTCCAAATGCAGATACTTCGAATCGCCTCTCTCCGCCAAACTGTTGCCCTCCTTCTCCAAATCCCTTCTGTAACGTTTGATGTTCTTAACGAGCAAATCCTTCCTCGATATTTCGTAGTGATTCGGAAAGTGATTGATTATCTGATTATCGTTCATTCTGTACCCGCTATCGACGCTGAACAGGCTCCTGCAGGTCAACGTGCCCGCCCAATATATGTTCCATTCGTCATCCGGATTCACCTGCACCCAACCGCGCTTCTCGCAATTCGCCACCACCACGCTTTTGTCCAAATCCGTGCAAAACGTTACTTTCATTTTAGAACGAAAATATTTGGCCGCTGACTTTAACCTAAATTCCAAAACTATTGACTTATTACATCGCGTTGCCGAGGCGACGCGAAACTGTGGACCGTACTGACAATTTTTTAATTGCTCTGTGTGTGTGTGCTAAAAATATGTTGAAAACGATAAAGATCGATAAAAAGGCTTACCAGAATGCCCAACAGTCAGGACTTCAATAGGCAGTGATCCTCTTCGCCGAACCAGCAGCGCGTCGGGATTTTCAGGTCTCCGTTGTAGCAGAAAGCGAGACAGCATCTCGGAATGCGAATCGGGCAGGAGGACCGTTTCGGGTCCGCCGGAACTCCTGCGTCTCAGCTGCTTTTTCCTGCGACCCGCCTTCCCGTTCAGACTCGTGTGTCTCGTGAGCTGTTCCCGACGCTCGCCGCCGCCGCCGCCGAACATCGGCGGCAGGTCCGTGGGAGCGGAACCCCTGCGCGGGTACTGCGCGAACGACGACTTCGGTTGCTCCACGGGGGTTATCAACGGTTGTTCGAGAGTTTCGTCAGCGACGAAATCTGGAAATGCTCCGCGTTGAAGAGCTGGTGGATGGTTCGGAATGAAGTGTACTTACGGTAATGAGCAATTTCAATTGGCACTGATCCTCTTCGCAAGGATTGTGTATCGGATAACAACCCCCCGCCAGCAGGAGGTAATTTTTCATCGGGTTTTGATAATGGTAGCGAGACTGGCGCTGAACCTCTTCGTCTTGTTAAACTCTTAAATTATAAATGATTATTAAGATAAAAATTTGAGTGAGGCATTATTGTAGCAAAGCTCTATAATAACAACCATCAGAGCTTTACCACAATTGAGTAGCAGGTAATTTACCGTTGCCGCTAATCGTCTAGGATCCACGTTTTCCTTTTCATATCGCTGGCCCGTCGGTTCGGACAGCTTTACCATCTTGCAGGCGGTTTTCTCCTTCTCAACACCCTCCGTTTCCCGTTTGTTGTTGGCGTGCGTGGCCTTTTGCGCCGGTGCCGGCAGCGTCGCTTCGGGCAGAAGAAGGTTCGGCGGCCGGCTGTTGTTCGGGCTCAATACCGCGATGGCAGGAATCATGTATTGAGGCGTATTGTTAATCGAATGTGATATGTTTTCGTGCGAACCGTGCGACGAGTTCGATCGACTGTCTCCTGAAAAATGAAATGCGACGAACGGTTTATTGCGTTTATTAACGGTTGTTAGACTTACTGACCTTCGTGAGAGGTTTCCGGACAGGTGCTCATTTCCGCAGTCGCGGACATGTACCTCATTCTCATGTAGGGCTGTGGCGGTGGGAACGTCTGCTGTCGCGTGAGACATTTGCTCGGAACGGCGTTGTTACTGTGCAAAACAGAAGTGAGCCTGCCCACGGCCGTGCTGCTCGTCATCGAAGCTATGCTGGGCTCGGGTAATAAATTTTCAGCGCTTAAAGGCCTCTCTGGTTGATCATCTGGAAATATCGAAACACTTTAAACGCCGTTTTATCGACGGATTGTATTTTTGTACCTGATGAATGAAGTGGGCTGCATGATGAAACGTCTGATTGGGAGCCGTACCGTAATAGTTCGTCTTCCTCTCTAAGGCCGCTGGAAGCTCTTGATTCAGTCTGTGGGCTAACGGGCGATCGTCCCGTCGGGACGCCCCGACCCGTCGGTAGGCTCTCTCTTCTGTAAATCGTTCTTGGCAGTGATTGCTCCATGTTAACGGGCACGGAGTGTCTCCTTACTCCTAATGACTCTAGAGTGGGAACAGCTAGTGATTGTCTTCTTATTTCCCTGTTGAGCGAACGATATCGATTTATAAAAATAAATAATTTAATGTGAGTTTATTTACCTCGGTGGAGGTGAAATGAATTCTTGAACGCTATGGGTTCCTGAGGTTTTAGTCGATGCTTGTTCTTCATCGTCGCTAACCTCCGGTTCTGCATCGGATAATTCAGTTTGCGTTTCTTCGGCCAATTCCGCCCTCTCTTGGGCTTCCCATTTCCTCCTGTTTTCCTCCAAAATGCCCATCATGTGCGTCGAGAGAGTGCTTTTCATGAACCTGTGCCATTCGGCGAACAACGGATTCACGACGTTTTTGAAAAACCCTAAAACAAACAATCAGTACGACCGCCCCCGAGTAGTCCTAATCATCGGAAACTTACCGACTTGAATTTTGGCAACAGAAGTGGATTGCTGATCGCATATGGAAGTAACTGGAAGATTAAGTTTCCGCTCAAACTCCCCCTGTCTGAAAAACTCGTCGCAGACTTTTAAGCTCCATTTCCTGGATATATCCCAAGGGCGGGTGGGATTCGAAATATCCGCGCACTTCAAAGCTATTTGCATAATGAACTGCCGGTGTTCGGCCTGCCTCAAATCCAAAGTGCCTTCGTCTAGGTGTTTCTTGAAACAAAAAAATATGATCGTGATGCGCGGGTCTCGTGTGATAAACGCTGCGAGAAAAACTTTTCGAAAAATCCGCTCGAACATTATTCATAATAAAAATGCGGGAACAAAAACAATTCCGCGAAACTTTTTGAATTACGAGACATCTTAGGTAAACTATCTTTTATCCAACAAATAAAGAGACATATTTTTAGGATGGGTTGTGTTTTAAGCAAAATATACAGATTCTGATTAATAAATACTTACTTTGAACCTCGTTAGAAATTCGTTCTGTCGATTAATATCAGTGGCTAAAATGAGATCGCGAATTTGTTGCTCCAGCTCGTTTCGGTAAGGTTTTAATTGATCTGCAACGCCGCTTTCCAGCAGGCATCCCACCGCTGACCTCCAATGGTGGTTTTCCAATACAGATTTATTCTGAAAATCGAGTAAACCGGAAAATTAGCTATGCTCTGTTCTCCTGCGTGCGATAAATTTCAAGTGCAGGCGTATCAGTTTTAAAAAGTCTTGCGCGACAAAATTATCCCCATAAATAACTAGCGATATCTAATAAAAGATTTAATTGGCAATAAATCAAAAACAATATATTGATTTTTAATGTTCGTATTTTACGAATTACGCCCACGTAATTTTATTCGGAGCATACCTCGGTTCAGTTGACAAAATAAATCGGGGATTGGTTCGTTAAAATTAAAATTAAACAATCTCGCCGAGTGTAATCGGAAATTAAAACTATAAAATTCGATTGGAATTCGAGTCGTTAATTTACTTACTTGGTACAAAATAGCGAGGTGATTCGAAGTGGAAATGAGAAAATGTTGATTTACACCGGGATGATCTAAATCGTGAGCGACAGCACCGATCAACGACGCCATAATTTCTAAAGGGGTAACGTACCGCCTTATCTGCAATATTAATTTGTTTTAATTAGCATCAAAAAGCAATTTACTACAATTAATAAAACATTTTGCTCGATATCTTATTGGAAATATTTCCTGTATTATTTTTTGAATTAAATTTTCGATTAGTTTTAAAATTAAACACGTACCCTTTCCTCCTGTAAAAAACAATGCATTGCTTGAGTTACATCAGTCGCGTGAATGGAATTGTGATAAGGATTCGTACTGTGATAACCCTCTTCAATGAGAGCTGAAATTAAACAAAAACACTAAATTTTATAAACAAAAAAAAATTGCTATTTACTTATACGGGAACCATTTATTTTTGCAAAAAAATTGTTGGGTTGGACTTTTTAACGCAAATACAAAATGTAAACAAGCGGTCGTTCATATTATTATTGGACAGTTCAAAAGTATTTTGTAAAACTACATAATATGTATGTATGTAGGTACATACAAACTGTTGTTGCAAAACGAACGGAAAATTTATTTAATTTGTTTTTAACGTTATAATACGAGAGTAATTCATTAAAGCAGCTTTCTACGTATTAGGTAAACCTGCTAATATGTGGGAAACTCAATTTTTCCACGAAAACATCAGTTTAAGCGAAGGTTTTATCGATTTAAACCATTTTTCCTGTATAATCGCAAACAGCCCGGTAGTAACAACAAATTAAAATATACGCATTTTACTCCGTTAAATTAATCGTAATTAACAATTTCAAACGGAAAATCTCGATATAAATGGATCACGTGCTTAAAAATATAGAACGTGAGGATGGATGGATTCAGATGGACAAAATATTCAACGTGCGGTAACGCACGTTTAACTTAAGTTTAGATGACGTGCTTTCAACGTCATTACGATTCGTTACCGACCTACAGGCTGTTGTAATTTCAAGATATTTTTGTTTTTTTTAGAGCCCTTGCAGTTTTTGAGACATTTAGCTCATTTTGTAAGAAACAGTCTAAACGTGCGGTTAGAAAATTTAAAGAAAATTGCGGTTGAATATTTATCCATCTAAACTTAGCCTAAATAAATTTCGAGCAGACGAAAAAAAATTACGTCGCATACGACCTACTTCTCTTTATTTGTTACGAACCGTTAAGTAAGCACATTATCGCTATCTAATACATTTTTTTAATTAATAATTCGTATAATCCTCATCGCGCACTTCCTCGAACGCCAGTCACAAACATATATGACAATTATAATTATCAACATAATCAGATCTTATCCCCGCCGGTGTATTTACGTGGAAATCTGTATTAGCTCGAATGAAATTTCGAGTTATCGTTCAATTGTGGGTTTGTTCCAATAAGATTATTTTTATCGATCTGAACCAATGAAATTGCAAAATTTAAGTTTACTCATGTGACTGTCTCCGATGATATTTAATGAATTTGAGGGTACTAGGACTCTCAGATACTAAGCCCAATTTACTGATGTTATTAAGTAACTGACACGTGGGATTGTGAGTGGTTTTTTTTGCAAAATTGATATACTTACTAAAGAGTTTCCATACCCGGACGACGTCTAAATGAAAGTAATCTAATAATCCATACCAGTGAAATAGATGAACACATAAAACGGGTAGTGATCGCCCACCCGCGACTGTTTCTAAAGTGAAGGCATTAAACCCCCATTTACCGCATCGGTCGAGAATTTTCTGCAAAAGAGAAACGCAATTAATGGCAGTAATTCATGCGAGTATTTTAATTGCTGCATGACGCAAACCAGTGCGGCTCGAATAATTAATTAACGCCGAAAACAAAAATTCTAATCCCTAGTGAAAGGTATATTTAAATGTTCTAAATATTGCCAATGAAAAATAAGAACTCTCAGTGTAAATCCGTATTTTGAACGAACCGCATATTGCGACTTGAATTCCAAATGGCCTTTCAAACAAATCATGAGCAGGTCGAATAAACAAATTAATTGCGAAACGGTTTCAAACTCGATTAACAAAGTTTACAATTCAATAATGGTAATTTTTGTCAAACTTCGCCTCGACGAAAACTAACCGAACAACCCGATGAACACGTTTCCTCCATATTATAAGTTTCAACAACTGTTTAGTATTTTCAGTTAACCGCTATTTCAATTTTATTGCGTTAGTTTTCCTATTGTTTAACGTAACGAAACAGCCTGCGATAATTTCGCATTCTAAATGTGTTTTCTTGGGTCTAGAGCTGCACATTTTATTCAGTAAATTGTGTAATTTCCTTATAGAACCGTAGAATACCTTAGCAAGTTCATTCATACTTCATTAACTATGAATCAATAATTTATTTTTTGCACCTTCGTTTCATGAATTAATGATCTGGTGAGTCAACCCTTATGTAACAACAAATTGATCGATATACAGTGAAATTCATATTAAAAATCCACCCTACAAACTATAATAATACAAATTAGAGTTTCCTTCGATCCATTAAAAGACGTTCTCGTTCGTCCTATTCGCGATTCCCGCCCCAAAAACGACGATCATTTATTAGGAAAATAGAGCGACAGATAAAAGCCTTCTCCAGCCATCATCGTTTTAAGTGAGTGCGTCGAAGACTACATTTTCTTTGTTGGAAATTATTTACGACATTATCGGCCTTTCGACGTCACGCAATGACGAGACGAGAGCCGGGTCGCTAGTTCAAATGACAGCGAACTATTGTTGTAAACGGAGTCTTCGACGAGATAAAACTAATGGCGCTTCGCTTGTTAAAATCTGCTGGTAGTTTCGATGTAGCAGAAAGCGTTTTATGAGTTGGCGAAGATGCCGTAAATAAGATAACCGGTAATACAATGCGATATGAAGATACATGTTGGTACTACGCACGTCATCGAAGGAGTGCTGTATATACAAGCGAATCATTGTAATTTTATCCAGGACTTGTTATTATTTTTTTATTTAAGTCATTACGAGTTATTTCTTGATGGATCGGTCAGGCGAAATCTTGTAAATAACAAATACAATAGAAATATAAAATCAAAACGATAAGCAATGAACCTACTTTATACGTTCGAGTTTATGTAGGTCATCGTTTTATTGCTAATAAAGCTGAAAATAGTTATCCAAAACGTTCGCAATAATTAGCATGTTATGGTAGTTTCGATTTTAGGTTAATAAAAAACAATAACAATCATCATTGCTGAATGAAATCCATAAATGTAGCGAGTAAAATCCAAATATCTAACGCTCGAAAGTTCAAAGATACACGTAAATTATCATCAAGTTTAACACATTTAATTACGATTAAAATCATCTAATTATAAATTTCAACTTCCTACTTAAACGATCCAACATCTGTACTCGATTTGTACACGATTATGTAACAGAAAATGAACTATATTTGTTTATTCGCGTAATGTCAATAAACTCAAACATTGTTCGGCTCGACATCACTTATTTTGTATAAAGAAACACACATATCTAATGGTAACATACTAATCTTATCTACAAAAAACATCTCAATTTTAATCAATGATCCCATTGAATGCTACTTATTTTTTATTGTATGGTATTAACATAACAAATATTCCGAGCAAAAGGCCAAAGGAAAAAATATTACTGAATTACCAAAGCAATCTCATTGAGACCCAAAAAAAACCCATTGTTTATTTCGAATTAAATATAGACATTCCCAAATTGAGCGACCAGAATTGAAGTTAAAAAACTAGAGAGCAATAATAAATGAGCGATTTTCTTTAATTTAAACATAATTACCTGGACCTGTCCGTGATGAATGTCATCAAGTATAGCTAGATCTTGTACCAAAGATCGCGTGGCGAGCCGTTTGCGGCGCCTCTTGTGCATCGTGAGGAACTTTCCGGAGCAGGCGGGCGTCGGTCCGGATCCCATGGCGTCCAACAGGACCCAATCCTCCTTCGAGAACACCCGTTGTAGCGCCGGAACTTCCGATGGAGCTGAAACAAGGAGGTTATCTATCATTTTTTCGCGTTTATTTGTTATCTTATACTGTCAACTTTGATTAAATAGGTAGATTGATTGAAATGCTCTTCGTTTTATTTTATATAAAATTCCGCAACTACGATGAAATTTTATATATGTACCTTAGATTATATTAAAAACACAAACAGCATAATAATTAATGTGCTTAGTACATACAAATTGATGTTATTTTGCTTTTACAATGTTGCGTTATTTTAATTATAGTAAATGCGTTGTGTACCTAATAATTTAATAAACAAGATGTCTACATAGCAAATATAGATTTCTAAATTAATAGAAAATCCATCAAAATAAAAATATTGCGCCGTAATTAACGAGCCGCTTTTGAGACACAGCAGATGTAGGATAATTTCTATAAAAAATAGCGACTTTCCCTGTTTTATATGATACTTTCTCTAGAATATGCATGTAGCAATTTGCTCGTTGGACCGTCGAACATCAACGTTAATATCCATAATGGTCTTTAAAACATTCCGCAAAACAGGTTCTTGACCCCGCATATACTCTCACCTCGATTACAAAAATCACCGCAAGCGATTAAGAACAAGTTGATTTAAAAGTGCAACTATAAAAAATCTCGTACTGGTGTAGCACGTGCCATTAATCTAGAAAGCACTAAGAAAATTAGGTTTTTTTAAAAGCACTTAAAATTAGATGTAATGTACATATTTAAATAGAATGTGTCAAAAGTTAAGTGGTTTTTTTTCCTCTTGGGGACTCGGGAAAAATTAATATTAATGAAGATACAAAAGATAAATACAAATATTTCTAATTTACAGACAATGAGTAGCCCAAGAAAAACTGTTACTCGTCATATTGTTTAGTTGTAAATGAATCAATACGCATTTCTGCCGATGCAAAAACTGCATACCTCAACATTTATGTACGTTTATAGTAGAAAATATAGGAACAAAACGGCAATTCTAAACAATAGTTTTCTGTCAACAGAAAGCATTAATTCATTTTTTACGACTTTTGCCCGTTCGTTACTTCACGGTCGTGCGACTTTGCTTTCACAATAATCTAACCTACTCTCTTGATTTATTCACCAGAGATCGATGCACTTATCATGTAGTTCTTTTGTGTTTTTCTCTCGGTTTTTTCTCGCTCAGATCAGACGTCGATAATACGTTACAAACAAGTTTCGTGCAAGAATTACAAAAGGACGGGAATGAGGAATTTTAATGAGATCGCTTCGATTTTTCGAACGTTTCGTTAAAATTTAATTCGAACAAAATCAACGTGTATACTTACGTTCCATCGAGAATCGCATAGCGTAAGTACCACTAACCAGCATTTGCGTTTGCTTTAACCCATACACATCGAACGTGTTTATGAACCGAATTCTATTATGCACTTGCTCTAAATCGAAAAACGTTAGAGTAATCGCGCATGTTCTCAAACGTTTCCATTCAAACGCCGCTGGAGATCGGGAAAAAATACGTGCATACACACTCTGGATTCGCTCCCACTACATCCCGTTTTCCTATTGTGTAGGTTAACAACCTTGGACGGGAAACTATGCACGTCGAACTAACAACAAAAAATATTTTTCGATGCCTATAAAAAATCGAATTAAAAATAGTACTACCTATTGTCAGTGCTTACAGCGATTAGTATTTTTCTGAACGCAAATGAAAATAAGCAATAATATGTATTTGTACTCTAGATAGTGTGCAAAATATCCCCTTTAAATTAGTCTGTATTTTTTTAATTTTCGAGGGTCATTTTTATCATAAAATATAGATAGTAGGTATAATAAAATGCTATATGTATAATAAAGTAAATGCGTTTTTTAACGAGTTATTTTATTGCCATTAAATCGGGGAATTTTTCCTTAAATTTATAATATTATTACCACAACCAGATTCGATTCATCCTTATCAAGTATTACTTACACAATAGTCAATTTAATTACGCGCAAATAATAGGACATTTCGCTGCATGCGTATAATTAAAAATATTTCATGACTAATTTTTATGAATCCATATAATTAAAATATTTTATTTCCCAAAAAGTAATTAAAAAATCTAATAAAATAAATGTAAGAATTGGAAAGCCCCCTTTGTGCTTAGCACGCGCCGTTTAAAAATTTGATATGATAACGAAACGTTTCGATAACAGGGAATTGTTATTATAGCTGATAAGGAAACAATCAAATAATTTTGTATTCAACAGCTATACACTCAAGTATTAAAATCCACATTAACTGTAATTATACAGGGAACTTATTTATGTTTTCAAATTTTTCGCGGGACAGTTAGACAGTTAGAAATGTTCCAGAACAAATTAGAATCATCCAGAATCTTTTAAAACTTGCCGAGACCATTTGAAACAACTCAGAACCATTTAGAACATTCCAAGATAAACCAGAAAACTTCGGAACCAAGCTTTCGGGACTACTTTTAAAGGATTATTTGACATTTTTATCTGAAAAATCAACTAGTAAAATATTTTTAAAAGTTATCAAATTTACATATAAAATATCTTGTAAATCATCTAAAAATTGGCTAAAACATTCTAAAATCGTTAAAATTTATTAGTAATACATAGTAGTAGGCAATTGAAAGCAAAAAGAAACTTTTGACGACGAAATTGCCTATAATTATTTAATTATCGAAATTGTAATTAGATGTTAACATAAAGCTAATTTATTTCCGGTTGAATAAATGCGTTTTGTTAATCTTTTTCCTAGTATTTCAGATATTACCATTGTTTTTTAATTATTAATAGACTTAATAAAAATATCAATGTTTACATATCAGTTTAATAGTTTGTATTTTTAGCGATAAACGTCGTGTAACAAACATATTGGAAGAAAATAAGGAAACGGATCTTCAGAAGCGGGAATTGTTTTTATAAGATGTTTTTTATGCTGCTAACGACTAAATAATTGGCAAATTTGTTGTTGTTTACGAAATTACCCGTACGAAAAAAAAACCTTAAAAATCTACGTTCTATATAATAAATATGTAGGTACCTATTTGTTTTCGGCGAAATTGATTGATCGATCGGCTATTTCCCAACCCGATGGGATATTTATTATTTTAATATTTGTTTGTACAAATCCCAATCGCTTCGCGCAGAATCCTCCGTCAAAGTCAAGAGCACGAAAATAGAATGGCCGCGCAATTAAAATTAAAATTTTTTACCAGCCTCATTCGCGAATTACCGCAAGAAACTCTTCACGCCTCAATCGAACGAAATCGCGTCAAACCGAACGCGAAACTTTGTTTATTCCGTCCAACTTTTTTGATCAAACATTTCGATGAAGTTCGCGAAACTAATTAACATTTTCGATGTAACTCGTATTTTTCGTTTAGCATATAAATTGCCGTTGAGAATAAAAAATCCAGCAGCGTCGAATACCTGAAAAGTGACAAACGAAGCTATTGACAGGCGAAGAGTAAGTGTATTCGATGTAATATTACAACTAAATGATCCTTGAGTATGCTTATTTAATGATTAGGCTTATTGCTGTGGGTTTCACTCTGCAGAACTTGTTGCATTTTAGGCCCTGCACTTTAATGAAAGTTTCCAGATCAAGTGATTGGATAGTCCGGTGCGCAAATTGTTCATTATGCCGTTCGATCGACTAATCAAAAGCGAAACGTCGCGCTCAATTACCCCGTTTAATTCTAATTCCGTCGGCGTGTTTTCTCAATAGACAAAAATTGATCGTACTTACGCGAAAACTGAAATTTCAGCTATTGTATGAAGCGGGCAATTCGAGGTGATTGAACTTAATGATCGGTTGGTTTAAAATTAACCGAACGATTGAGAGTTTCTGGAGCAGAAAGCGTACTAAAATAAACGGCTAATTGTGTAATCTTGAGATTTATTAAATTAAAGGAGAAAAGAAAAAACATTGAATATACTTTCTTATAATTTTTGTCATTTTAAGGTAAACAGCATGTTTTACAGAACATGTTTCGTTATAATCTTTTTAATAGATTTAATAAACAACTTAGGTAATAAATCAGTGTGGTAATGATAAAAAATGATAGATAAAAATCTACTTAGCTTAATGGATAAATAAATTAAATACTTATAATCATTAGTTACCTAGTTATAATCTAAAAATTGTAAACAGTCAGTTAGTTATACGAATAATTTAAATGTCGTTATTACATACTGCTTTACGCAAATTTTCGATCGAAATACCTACCTAAATGCGTATTAAACGAAATAGGAATATTTTTTAATTCGCCAGTTGCTAATAAATTACGATATATTTAAATTATTAGTAGCTAAAACCTATAATTACTTTTTGGCAATCAATCATCGATTTTTCTAATTAAACACTAGCTATTTATAGTGGATTTTTTGTAGTTATTTGTTATACAACTCACCGGTAAAAATCATTTCCGCTGCCTTTACGGCCGAATTACATTCACCGCCTTACATTTTTCGTCCAAACCAACGTTCACCTGCTCTTCGACTGCACGTCACAAGCTTCCGACATATTTTAAATAACCGAAATGTGGATGCGAAAGAACGTTACGGCGTTCGAAGAAAACGTAGGGATTGTAGAACCAGACGAAACGCAGCGGCTAAATATAGAAATACAACGTTCGGGATGCACCTTTCACAATGCAATAACATCGACTCTCGAGTCTCGAGTCCGCCGGTTACTGTCAGTAATCAGTAATCACCACTGCTGGTATTGAACAACGAACGGGGCAGTGTATAATGTGTAATGTTCCATTACAGTAGGTAATCTGTAATGAAATGCGGCCTTTGCCGAGCGCTGGATTCACCATTCTCGACTAGTATTCTACTAGTGGAAGGTGTGCGTTTGTGTGTGTCCCCCTACCTGCATAACACAGACGGAATTTACAATATAACACCGGTGGTGTAGATGAACTGATCATACAAATAGGATGGGAAAGGCATCTATCGAATGCGGATTAACCAGAATTATGTTCCGCCCCAAAGCAACAACTATTTGGATATATTAAAATAAAATGTGTAATAATATTATTGTCAGATTTTTATCATCACAATTAACCGAATATTTTTAATAATAAACCGATTTTTATTAAATCGCTTTCAACAAATAATAAATGCCTCAAAGGGCAGTTATACTATAAAAATTACGAGTTAAATTATTTTTATATTATAGAATAAAATTATTTTCCGATTGCGAATTTCGTCAGTTGATTATTGCCATAAACGAACTATTTTTATATCTAATCATTTTATTGTTATTGCAAACGTTGTATAGAGATTTTGATCCGTTGACAATTACAATTTCGAATGGGAAATTTTCGATATTATTATCATTTATTAGTTCTCTAATAAATCGAATGAAAGTTTCCGACGAATCAACATGTTTCCCGGTATTAATAACTCTTTTCGAGTATTTTGTTATTGTATTGTTAGCGAATGTCCCAATTCGTTTGCAAACGAAATTACGAGATAAAATTATTACATTGTTAATGTTGCTTTGTGTTTTATTTTTTTAATCACATCCAATTAGTTTAGTTAATTTCTTTTGAAATAACCTCCTTTCGAATGCAAATTTCTGTGTAGTTCATAATATAAAAACGACAAAAATGCAATTTCGTGAATTTTTTTTTCAATTTGTCCTCATAATTTATTATCATGTTTTTTCTTAACTCGACATATATAATTAGTTTTATCAGCGTCATTCCTCACGAAAATTCGTGACTGATGAAAAGAAAATAATAGAAACAAATATTTACGCACTATGTAGGAGAAAATTATTAATTAGATAAAATGGAAATGGTATTTTATGCATTGTAAAAGCTCAAATTTGTTAAGAGTGTTGCATATACACATAGGTACATTTGCCTACTTATTTGGGCACATTAAGAAGGGTCAATTTACAACAGCAGGTAGTAATAATAAATCGTTAAACCGATTTAAATTTTTCCTGTCAATTTACGAATGTACTGTTCATAATTACCCAAAAGACATTATAACTAAGGTTAGTTGTAATGTCTTTGGTATGACCTATAAAATATACAGGGTGAAAGAACTTTACAAATGTTGCTTTTATTTTATTTGCACAAACATATTCTTGATAAACAATAAAGAAATGAATATGCATTATAAAATTAGATCATAACAAACATTAAATTATCGTTTTCAGAAATAATATTTACAAACCAAAACAACAATAATTTTATAACCATGTCCCCTTAATTTTTTTGGTTGTAATTAAATATTATAAATAGCTAGAAATCCAGCAAGTTGATGGCTAGTATTCGTTTAAAACCATTGAACTCGCTTTTAAAATATTGAGGTTGAAGATAAAATTATGGCAATTGTGAATGACATTTTAGTTTTTCTCAGTTTAGTTTTGTTTTTTCGTTGGTGTTACGATATTTACAAGAAAAACAGGCAATTGAGGCATATTCCCGGACCACTTCCCATACCTTTCATCGGGGTGAAATTACCACGAAATATTTACGGTACGGACATGCATTTAATTTAAATACCTAATTGCATAGGTTTAGAAAATAATCTACAGGTACGTTGGAACATTATTGTATGTTGCAGAAATAACACACTTTTTCGATGGGCTCATAGAACAATACGGAAACACCTTTAAATATTACCTGGGCAACACTTTAGTGGTTGCAACATGCGATGCGGATTTAATACAAGCCATCGTACAGTCTTCGAAACACATACAAAAATCCCGTTTGTACGACATAAGCAGAATATGGTTAAAAGACGGATTAATTGTAAGCACTGGTGAGTTACGATAAATTATTAGTAGCTTAAACGACCGAATAAAAATCGTAACAAAAACCGCATTAGGTAGGTAATTAAAAATTTTGAACGATACCATTAATAAGTCTATCACTTTTGAATGAAAGTTTAATAGGTCGTGTGTCATGATAATTTTTATATAAATATAGCATTAGAATATTTTGAAAGTGCTAAATAACTAAATAATTTTTATCAATTAATCAACGAAATTTATAATTGGAACTCATGAAATATGTATGCAGTTATTAATTTTTTAAGGGGATAAATGGAGGCAAAGGAGGAAATTATTGAACCCCAGTTTTCACGTTTCCATCCTGAAAGAATTTTTCGCAGTTTTCAAAGACAACTCCAACAAAATCGTGGCCAGTTTGGAGCAAGAAGCAGCCAAAGAAAAACCAATAGACGTCGGACCATTCCTTGCAAAATTCGCAGCAGATGTAATCGCAGGTAGGTATACCAATAATCAACCCATCCAAACATTTTAATAAAACCTCCATTCTTACAGAATCTTCATTCGGTAGTAAACTCGGGATACAAGAAGGCCACAATCCCGGCTACCTAGAATCTTTAGATAAAGTACTCAAGTTAATATCCATGAGAAACTTCAGTCTTTGGAAATGGAACGATATGCTCTACAAACTCTTTGCCAAGGAATACTCCGAGCAGTCGAGATGTATAGGCATAGTGGACTCCGTCGCCCAGAAAATTATAGAAAATAAACGCGAAGATATCGATCCGGATAGCCAAACGAGAATGAACACCAAAAAAAGGTCGGTGCTGATCGAAGCTTTGATGGAACACCCCGACATCACCAACGAGGACGTGCACGAGGAAGTCAATAATTTCATGTTCGCCGTAAGTCGCTTATAAGGAGAAATTAAAATCGAGTAATGCGGTAATTTTTAGGGATATGATACCACGTCTACTTCGTTGTCATTCCTGCTATACGAACTCAGCCGACACCAGGATATCCAAGAGAAATTATACCAAGAAATTATGTTTCACATCGATGGGGATATCGGTAACCTAGATGTCGAAAGGTTGCAAAAAATGAATTACTTGGATCTGGTTTTGAAGGAATCCTTGAGGCACAGAACGACGGTTAGTGCGATAGAACGTCTAATAACGGAGGATGCTAAATTTGGTTTGTGCTACGATAATTCGAGTTAGAACATGGCGTAATCGAATTTACGTACTATTACAGGCGATACAGTTTATCCAAGCGGTACAGTTTTCGTAATATTGTTGCATTGGCTGCACAATAACCCCGCATATTACGACCATCCGGAAAAATTCGATCCCGAAAGGTTCAACGTTGAAAACTCCTCGAAACGACATCGGTTCGCATACATACCGTTTTCAGCAGGTCCCAGAAATTGCATAGGTAAATAAAACTCATTTCGTTAGAAATTTGACTGAAAACTTTACATCCTCAGGTCAAAAATACGCCATTTTAGAAGTAAAAACCGTCATAGCGAAAATCCTCTTCGAATTTCAAATATTACCAGTCGAAGGCAGCGAACTTGAGGTGGTTAGCACAGGCATATCCAAATCGAACAATGGTTATCCCATAAAATTACAAAGAAGACAATAAAAGCATTCAGTTTATGTATAGTATTCGGTGCGTAGTTGTACACGGAAAAAAATAAATTGATAATTAATACAAATCTGGGTTTGTTACAGCGTTTCACTACAAACTACTAAAAAAAATTGTTTCCGTTACTGAACTACCGTAACTATGACAAACCCTGGTTAGAACTGTAACAAAGTGTACATCCATACATTAACGGAACTAACGGATACTTTTGTAATAAAAACTATAGATGAAATTTGTACTCAAACTCCAATAGAGAATACTTCATCTCCATTAGACAACATTAAAGCTTTACTGAATGATTCTGTAAAGGGAAAATACATTTTAGCCTACTACAATAAAGTCGGTCATGCTGTAAAAAACTGATCATTTTATCCTTTGATTATCATTACCATGCTTTTACTGTAGAGGTAACAAATGAATTTTTTGGAATTCCATTTGAACAATTAGCTGTTCCTTTTGTTAATAACCTTATTAATATGAACAGCAAATTGTATATTTCTGAAAGGAATCAAACTTTTTAAGCTAAAGTTTGTGTTTATATATTTTATTTTTTTTACCTAAATTTATGTACTTACCTATATTATTTCGTTATTTGCTACTTTTTTAAGTACCTGTACTAAAAGTACAACTTTTAAATACTTGTAAATTATTTGTATTATCTGTATATTTGTACTATATATACGAGTATAACTCTGTAGGTATGTAACTCTGTTGTATTATAGGTACCTATATTTGTACTATGTAAATCTGTTGTATTATATGTATTTGTAGGTATTTGTACAAAATTTGTATTTTTCTAAATAAATAAATGTTTATTGCTAATGCATATTTTTATAGCCAAAACCAATTTTTTTAGTAATCTCTACATAACCATTTTATAATCCTTACAAAATTAATTTAGAAACCGTGACAAAATAAATTTAATAGATACGCCAAAACAAATATACTAAAGCCAGCAAAATAAATTTGACATTCCTAATAGAGCCGTTTATATTTGCTTACAAAACAGTTTCATATCTGCCACTAAACTCGTTTAGTAAAAAAAATGGTTCTGTAACGACAACAAATGTCGGTTTAGTAACCTGTACTAAAATTTTTAGTTCCATATACTTGAATAAGGTTTATAAATGTGATTAGTCCTGTACACAAAACTTCTAGCTGTCCATATAGCAACAAAACTCTTATGCTGTAGTCACTAGCTTTTAGTGACTGCAGCAAATCTTTTTTTCCCGTGTAATAATCCTAATTTGGTTTATGAAGTTAATAAAAATTAGTAAAAGCCTTATAATTATTAATTACCAATAGACATATATATTACCATATTTGAGTGGGAAAATTGAATGAAAAATTCGAATAGCCTATAGCTGCTTAAAATCACGCCAACAAGGTGATTACGGTGACGCCGATGGAATTTAATTAAAAGTAACTTCTATGCTTACCTATAAAAACATTATTAAAACAGCTAACTGGTTAGTCCGGTATGAGAATTGAAACGCAGAGTGTAATAACAAACGTTCGATAACAGAGACATTAAAAAGCGATTAGTGCAATTTTTCGATTTTCTAAAATGCTCTGGTTATTGAGCGTCTTTTTGGCTATACTAGTTGTTTTATTAACACCCCTTATAAACTGGTATTTGGCCTTATCGAAATACAAATCTTTGAAAAATGTACCGGGTCCTGCGCCATTACCTGTCATAGGAAATGCAAACGATGTGGGAAAAACAACCGTTGGTAAGTAACATAAACAACTATTAAATTATTTATTTAATTACAACTTGATAGATTTGCTGCAATCTTTTATGCAACTGCATTTAAAATACGGGACGTTTTATAAATTATGGTTGGGACCGAGATTGCATCTAATGGTGGCCAAACCGGAGTATTTAGAACAACTTCTAACATCTAACGTGCATTTGAGTAAATCTGACGGCTACGATCTATTCAAACCGTGGTTAGGAGATGGACTTTTAGTTAGCACCGGTAAGAAATAAACGTTTAGATAAGTACTTCAGAAAAACAGAATTGTACTAAGACTGTTTTAAGGATTGAAATGGAAGAAACGAAGGAAGATGATCACACCGACGTTCCATTTTAAAATTTTGGAGGAATTCATGAAGGTATTCAACAAAGAATTCGACCTTATGCTCGATATTCTAAGCGAAGATGAGAAAAACAATCCAAGGGCGTCGACTGAGATTACGAAATACATTACTTTAGCGGCGCTTGACACTATATGCGGTAAGATATATTAAATTATCATAAAAAATATCGATTATTGCTCAATTACTAACGTATTTTGAATTATATTATGATCATCAATGAATTAATGAATATTCAAAACTATAGCACCAATTATTTTACGGTTATCTTTTACATATAGAAACTGCGTTCGGAACGCCGCTAAACGCTCAAAGAAACGGCAACCCGAGCTACGTGAAAGCCATGGCGAATTTTTTGGAAATTTTCACTCTCCGCTTCTTTTCGGGGTGGCTGCGACACCCGCTGATATTCAGATTCTCGTCGTTGTATCGATCCTATAACAAAACATTGAAAACCTTGCACGACTTCACCAACGCCATCATCAAAGACAGACGGGCCGAGTTCACGAGGCGCACCTCCAAAACCGGAGTATCCGAAGAGGGCATCAAAGCCAGAGCTGCCCTTCTGGATATGCTGCTCGAAACCACCGTCAACGGGGAGGAACTCAGCAACGAGGACATCAGGGAGGAGGTCGATACGTTTATGTTTGAGGTTCGTTTCTTTTACTAAATAAATATCCTAAATAATTTCGAAAATTCGCGATTCCAGGGACACGATACGTCTACGACAGCCATCTGTTACGTATTGTACGCGCTAGCTCAGAATCCGGAGGTGCAGAGCAAAGTCTATCAAGAAATTTTAGAGGTAATAGGAAACGACAGACGAACGGAAATTACCATTTCGAAGATAAACGATTTGAAGTTCTTGGACGTGGTGGTGAAGGAAGCGATGAGAATGTACCCGCCCGTGCCGTTGATAGAACGTCGGTTGGAAGAAGATTGGATACTCGGTAGGAATATTTTCCATGCGTATAAATAATAGTTAAATATTGATGTATTTAAATCGAGTTAAAAACTTTAGGAATCTTGGAAGCCATATTTCCCTTAAGCCAAAAAAAGTCTGGAGAGCTTTAAATCCTTCTTATATCCAACAAACATTATTCACATAACATATTCCATTAATCTTCCCTATATTCCCACGAAGGAAATTTAAGCATAATGAATATGATTTTAGATGGAACGAGGATTCCCGAAGGAACGAACATATCTATATTCCTCTATGGGATGAATCGTGACCCGACAGTGTTCCCGGATCCGGAAAAATTCGACCCGGAAAGGTTTCTTCCAGAAAAACAGGCAGACAGGCATACGTACGGATATATACCGTTTAGTGCTGGTCCTAGAAATTGCGTAGGTGAGAAATCGAAATAAAATCTTAACAAAGAAAAACGTATCAATCCGAGTAGAAATTGTAAATCCCCTTAAACTGGAATTTAATGCGAAACGGATTCCAGTTAGTTTGTTTTTATGCCGGTAGTTCGAAATAAATTAAATAGAAAACTGCGATTGTAGCTTTGTTGAATTTCGGTTTAACGTCGAACTGAGAATATGCAATGCACGTTTCTACCGTATTGAAGCGGGTAAAAGAGCAGGGAAAAAGCCGAATAAAATCAAAAAGAACGTTCTCCGCGTTTGTGTGTCAAAGGAAAAGAGTAAATAACTATTTTGTTCCGGCGAGAGTTCTCGACAACTTTGTTTCTCTTATTGTGCGGTTGTCAGATTGGTTAATACAATGAAACAACTTTTTTATTGCACGGGAAAACAAACAAAAATCTACTCAAACGAAGCAACTCCCGCAATCAAATAGGAGTTTTATCCGATAACGTTACTTTGTACTTCGCAGAAACTCTACACTGCCTAATTTTCTTAAATCAAACTTAACGAGCTTGATTAATTTCTTCTTTTTTTACGTTTCAGGCCAGAAATACGCAGTGTATCAAGTGAAAACCTGCCTGATAAAATTCATGCTGGCATTCGAAATGATGGAAGACGAGAAGTTTAAACCAGAAATCGGGATGTGTTCGGTGCTAAAATCCCGAAACGGCATCAAAATTAAATTAAAACCCCGAAATCAAATCTAATTAAATGGTCAGAGCGTATTTAAATTAATTAATGGAAATTCTACTTTGACCTGGAAAATACAATTTTCTACTTTTTGTCTCATTTTACATTATTTTGTAAAATCACATTACATTTTGTTTGACATCATATAAATGTATTTTTTATTTCAGCTCTTATTTCTTTGATGTAAAATTGAACACGCGTTATATGTACAAGTGTTGGAAATATTTTTAATATTATTATTTAAATATATTTACTGCAATAAAAATAATTTTTAACAGCGTTAATATCCTGATATAAAATTACTATGGGTAGGTATGACGAATGCGATAAATCTATAAAATGATTTGATTTAATAGCGATTGAACGTTTCAATTTTAATTAAATCGGTTACTTTCATTTACTGTATGTATTTAATGAAAAATCAATTTAGATTTTCAAAAATAAATTTTTAAACCTTTGACCACTTCGCCGTTGTTGGTTTTTTAGCTAAATATTTGTTTAAAATATTGATGGAAAATATACAGTTTTATTCGATTAAAAATCAATGCAGTTTATTGAAAATAAACATTGTGTGTTTCATATTTATTTTAACGTTTAAAGTTTATGGTTTTTTAATGACTTTTATCGACTTTCTTCCTATCTTTTGGGTGAAATTGTCGGGAAATCTACAACTACATCAGTGCGCTGTATATTTATCTTCTAATTATTCTGGTATAATAACGTTGTTACATTGAAGATAACAAATCCTTGCATATCGTTCGATCGATGCGATAAAATTTACCGATATATCGATGAATATCTATAAATACCTATTAGATAAAGATTGTTCGATTATTTTGTTTTCAACAACACAGCGATGGGATAAATTGGACACACGCGTTACATTACAAACGATAATAATCAGATAACCAAAGTGTGTGAAAATTGAATTATACATTAAATGCACTCATCAATATTGATGTATACTATTTCTAGTCATAATTCGACATGGCATAAAAAACGCCTAGCGCCGACTTCAAAGGTACCGGTGCACATGGACGTACCGTTTTTAGTATCAAAATTAAATAGATTAAAGTATTAATTGGGTAATATTTAATGTACTCACTTTGTCAGTGAAATTTTATGTCAAATAAATTTTATAAGTTAAAATTAATAATTTTAAAAACAAGTAAAGTTTAACCAAGGCTTTGAGAAATCGCGAAAAATTTTCAGACCGCGCGAGCCACTGATCTAAGACAAACAAACTGAAGAGCGAGATTAATTAGATGAATATTTGGTGATTTACGACCGCGAGCCAGCTGCCGGTCCGAAATCGCGTAATCGCACAGTTGTAGAATTAATATCAACTATTGGTGAGTTAATGTTTAAAACTTAAGTGAGCCACATCAGCGCGGCTCAGCGGCTATACCGGGGCGATTCGCGCTTATTGGCAACGCGAGAGTATGGAATTCGTAGCATTCTCGGCGCTTATAACGCGATTTATTTCGCGTCCCCGGTACAACGGTCCAAATCGGATTAATATTAGAATCACTATAATGATGAGTAAATTCTAATAAATGGTGCGTGCATGGAGTATAAATTACTTCCACCATTTTTTTAAATTCGCAATTCGATTTTGAACGAAAATTTGTACGTTATGTACAAAAGCGATATGAAAAACTTTTAGGAAGTAATAAACATCATCTTTTATAACAAACTTTACGATATCGATATTGCTACATACTTTCTTTTATGGTTTCCATTAGATCGACCGCTTCCACGTTTATTTTCAATAGGCTCATTTTTCGTCTCGACGATCGAAAATAATACCTTTTATCCATTATTTTCACTAATTAATCATCCGTTTAACGCTAAACCACGACGACTACTAGGTAAAATACGCCTTTACTACAGATAATATAACTCGAAAGTTATCTTTTGTTAGAATAACACGATAAAAATCACGAATATCGACTATTTGCATGTCGACAAAATCAGCGAGCTGATGCGCAAACGTTGCATTTCCATCCTTCATATAGATAATAATGAAAATAGTAGGTACAATGCGCATTATTTATTAGCTATACTTATCGATCTGTACCTCTCCTAATTTTAAACTCAGTAACAGGCATCATTTTAATAATAATGATGATTTTTCTGGCGGCATATAAATTTCGTTTTCTGATGCATTCTTCGTTTCCAAAAATTTATATTAGTTGGCGAGGCAATTTCCAAGCGAAAATAACTGGATTACATTAAGCTGACAGATTATTATCGGTTCGTTTAAATCACGAACTTGCCAAAATCGTTCGCGTTTAATCGAATGCGACGGTAATACGATTTAATTAAAAAATATTTCGTTGCATAATTGAGCGATTTGCGCCAATAAGTGTATAAGAAGAAGCTTTGCAAAGGAAAACCGAATGTCAGATGAATATCGAGATCACAGGATAAAGCGGAAATTGAACCCGTCAGTTCAAGTATACGTTGAAATTAGATTAGATAGAAAAAAACACGTTGCAATTTAAATAACTTACCTACTTTTACGGCGAATTTAAATATAACCCGGATATTAAATTGAATTTTAAATTACCAGTTACCTAATTTATCGTCGTATCGGTTTATCTGTTGGAATGTTTTTGGAAAATTGGATATTTCGCATTTTCTGCTACGTTTTGTTCCTAAGTTAATTAACGAGAGCTATACAGTCGAAATCTACTTTGTACTTTTCGCGAAAACGCGATTAATTAGACGAGCGTAAAGTTGCGAATTTCTGCGAAAGGGCCGAGATGGGCTGTGTTGCGTAAGCGCGGGGAAATTTGTACGATCCGATAGGGGGGAAAAAGAGAAAATGGGTGTTCAACGGGAAATTGCCCGGGTACAAAAACAGGCTTAACGACCAAGAAAAACCTCATAATATCAACACGCTATAATTAAAAATATTACTTTGTATGATCGCTCTAATTATAGCACAAATCCATATATATTAATTAATTATATCCACGTACGTATATCCACAAACTAATTAATAGCACAGTGTTGTGGGAATATTAATTGCAGAAATTCGATACTTGAGTCTTTGAGTAATGCTACCCTATGTACGGTGTAGCGGGATACTCGATAAGGCAGAAAGTGCACACACACACAGTCGAGCTCGCGAAGTGAACGCGACTTTCTCAATTAAATTCGAGCTGGGCGGCGTATGAAAGAACTTGCGAGTTGTGAAGATAAATTTCTCGGTGCTATGAGATGAAAACGCCGACCCCTCAGCTTGATTAAATTAAAATTAAATTTAATTAAGCAGTTAGGTAATAAAATTCGGGAAATTCTTACCTCGTTTGTACTTGACATTGCTTCCCGTAACGTCGATGGTAATTTCTCTCTGAAACAAAAAAATCATTTAATTAATTATTCATTAAAAGAATAAGTTTTTATGCTTTGTTTAAAGCACTATATTTATACCAAAATCTTCTATAAATTAAGCGCATTTAGTTAATTAGATTTCGATCATTGGAAGGTTTATTAATACAAAATTTTAACAAAAAGGTGGACGATATTATTCAATAACAAGGCTATTTGTACATTTCAAGCTCCATTACCCGTTTTCCACATAATAATTATTATGAAACGAAATAATTTTAGATTTATAACGCATCCGCGGGAACATTTGGCATCTTAAAAGACTATTTTGTTATCGAAAATAAAATTAAAAACACGACATTATGCAAGAAAAATTCTTGAACCAATTCTCGACGAAAATAATTTCGATTACGTTCGAATTCTACGATTTTCAGATGTAAAATTGTACATGTACAAAGTGAGTAGGTATTTGGATTTTCCGCAAACGATAATTGTGTATAATACACAATTTTGTATTATACACAATTATAATACACAATTGTGTATAATACACAATTATGACACTGGGAAATGAAATTACGTATACACTTGGGCACTCGAAGGTGTATATTTAGAAACGGTCTGAATAGGGAATAGTGTTTTCCCATTAAACGCTATTAATGATTTAGCAAGGTGTTTTAATGCGCAGCCGGTCGGCAAGGAAGGGAAACCGACGCCATAGCGGAGTATAAAAAGCGATAAAACCACTTAGGTGAAACGTTCGTCTGCCATCTCACCCGGACCATAACCCGGAATCGTGCCCGAGTGTAGAAACTACCTCGGAATTATCGAGCCCTAAAGGGAGCAATTTATATCACTTTATACACTTTATTTTTGAATGTTTCATAACGACTCGAAAGCCCCTTAAAAAAAACAAGAATTTTCCTAAATAATGCATGTAGGTAAGGGACGAAATAATTTTTGTTATGCTACTCAATTAAATTCGCTAAAGTCAATTTTAATTTCCTTCACTAATGGAATATCAAAATGGCAAAATAAACAGCGAAAGAAAAACGAATAAGGGACATTCCTCTACCACAATAATTAAAATTCTGATGGAATAAAATTGGTTTAATCAACAACAAAAAACGTACCCGTCGAAAATGATTATGTATATTTTATACGATTTTAATATACCTACACCAACTATAAATTAAAAAAATAACAACCCCGACTTCTTTCTATTTAAGAACCGAAAACTCGACTTAAGTAAACACTTTCGAAATGAATAATTAGTATCTTTACCGACTTTAAATTCATCATCCTCGGCGCAAAAGGGCCACTCCTTAAATTTAATTTAAAGTTTAAACGCCCGTTTCTTTTTCGTGAAATATATCTTCTCTGTTTTTAATTTACTCTCCCGAGAAGTTTATAGCTCGAATTACTTTAGCCAGAGTTTTCCTAACTTTCGTCAACAAATTCAGACGTATATAGGAATGTGTATTTAAAAATTGCGGATAATACAGTTAATCTTAAATTTATTAAAATGCGGTCATTTGTATGCTGGTTGACTAGACACGCCGATTTTCGATAAATTGTATGGAAATAATATAACTGTCGGTGTAGAGAATTTGAGTTAAAAAATTACCTGTCAGTATCAAGAGGTAAGTCTAATTCGCTTTTAAATAGTTTCTGGGGAAATGAATTTTGCAATTTTATTGTACCAACCCTGCTTTTCTCCGGCTCTGTTCAAATAAAAGACGGAGCGAAACGGGAGAGCGGAGAAAATGAGAACGTTTAGCATTCCCCCGCGCGCATGTTGAATATCACGGGATTCATTTCTTAATCCTCCTTTCCCCAGTTTTCTCTAAGTGGGAAATTTTATGCTCCGATACACGTCTGTTCGAATTTCTCCGTTTTCCAAATAAATCGGAAGGTTGAAATATCGGGCGGAAGCGTTCTCGGGAAAAATGCAACATAAGTAGTAAGCTTCAAGATGAGTTTTCCGAACGGGGGTTCTCCATAAAAGCACGCCAACGCTTTTATAAAATACATCACAATATTTAATGCCGCCTTTGAGTAATTTCCTCGTACGTTTGAAAATGTTGAATCTTGATGCCCACGCATCTAGGGTATTATTTATTATTGAAATTTATGTGCTAATATAGCGTTAAAAATTGCGTCGTAAAAAGACTTTATACGTTGCTATTTCCATCTATAAACTAATCAATTAAAAAACGAACTAGTTTCCAAATAACCCTATGAATTCAAAATTCAATCGACTGGGACGGATGTAATAAAACTCGAAAGGATGTTATTTGCATTTTACTGCGACATTAAATATTCTAGCAGGATTAGGGTGCATTCTATTTATCCGACGACAGATTCGTCTTTTGAATTGATGGCGAATGTTAAGTTCGCACAACACACCCTATTAGTTGATATTTCTCAGATAACGGGTTTTTTTTTTCGTTGTAAAATTTAAAACCAATAAATTCGTATCAGAAGTGGGTTAGAGCACGACGTTTAATAAATTTATCAGTCATTAGCGTCGCGGTATTTGCTTTATTCGTGATGCACACCCAGAAAACGTTTGAAATTGTCGACTTTTAGAACTTAAGTAGGCTTAATGATTCCTGCAGGTTCGGATCAGTAAATATCTTACACTAAAATGAACCAATTAATCGGTTTTAAAACGTAATTTTGTACGATAATATAACTGAATCCGTTTCTGCGTTCGTCTATAATAGCAAAGAACTTTATAGTCATGTGAAAAAGAGAAATTCAGGTTATGAAACTAATTAATTAAAGCAGTACTTACGCAATAAGTGGGTACATTTTACTTTGAAGAAGATATCTGGTGCTGACTGGACTTTTGTATTTGGACATGGCATGTTAAATGGTTGTGCTAACATTTGCTAAGAATTCCTTTGACGATATTCGCATGTAGGTATAGTAGAAATACTATTAGAAAAAATTTCCACTAAGTCAATGACAAAGGTGAGAATGATTTAAATTGATAAACTAGATTAGGTAAATATGCCGACTACATTTATGGATATAATTAAACCTGCGAAATCGATTTTTTTTTCTATACAAAATCGAAGATAACTGCCAAATGGGTTAAAGATGTATAACTAAAGTTGAGTAACTTGTTAGTTGCAGTAGATTGGTATTGATCGCATTCTGATATGATGCAAATTTAAAGTAAACTGGTAAACTTCAAATCCTCGAGAACTGGCGTTAGTTTTGAAACGCTCAACTTTTCCTGTTTACCTAAAGTTTCGTTTTAGTTAGGTGCTTGGAAAAATTTCAATCCCCCGACAGCTCCGTTCCAATTTTGCCATAATTCATTCTCATTCGAAATCGCTGAAAGCCACTCAATTACCGGGTATATGCGCCTATTTATTTCAATCCGAACTTTCGAGTATATCGGTTACAGATATCGGAATTTCATTTGATAATCCGCCCGAACAGCAACCCATACCTGCGAAGTTCGCCGTACACACGGCAAGAGCAACTATCGGTAGAATGCGTCACAAAACTTTTAACGAACCGGAGCGCCCCGACGCCCGAAATGCATGACGCTCAAGCGATGACGTCAAACGGCTGTAACACTACGAGATTGGAGTTGTTGGCTGAGTGCCAATCGGGTCAAGCCGAGCCTTCCTTTACCGTAATCCGGCGTTGCCGATGGCTCTTTGCATTTTGGATTTTAACCAGAACAATCCCCAGTGAATCTGGCATGCGGTATTTGAGGAATTGTTAATATCTTATTTGATGTATTGCTATACAATCTAATTGAAGGGTCTGTTTCAATAGCGATGTAAACGATTTTAATAAATTGGTAGATTGATTCAGATGATTTATGAAGGTTTTACAGGTAAATTTCTCAATTTTGTAGAATATTCACTAAATTAGTTGATTTTTTAGTTGAAAAATTGTAAATAATCTTTTAAAAGTTCTAAATAGTCTTAACAGCGTTTGAAATAGTTCCTAAGTTTTGTACTTTATCCAGGAGAGTTCCAAATTATTTTTTATCGTTCTAAATGATTCCAAGATTGTCCGGAACTGTTTCAAATGGTCCTGGTAAGTTCTAAAATAATTCTAAATGATTCCCATTTCCGACCATTGTAATATATTCTGAAAACAGCTCTAAATGATTCTAAAACTTTTCTGAATATACATTCTACACTATCTCTCATCCTCCCTGCCTCAAGCACAATGTCTCTCTCAATTTTTCGAGATCGTATTATTCCAACATGTACATTACAACAAACTTACAATAGCAAAATAATTTCGCAAAGGAAATGGAACACTGGCTCGTAAAAATTATGAATCGTAATAAAAACGATCCCCGAGTTAAAAATATTATCCATCGAGTTTACATATCTTGACCTCGTTTTTCGGTTGATCGTTCGATATTTACGTATGTATATTTATATACCGTTGTTGTCTAAATTTAGTACCGAACAATTGTAATTCATGAATCGCTCGCGTGCCTTTTCGGACCGCGCCGAAGGCGTTCGTGGGAATCGTTAAAAATTTAAACTAATTACGCGAAGAGCACGAACGATTTCGATACTGATCCACGAGGTGTTTGTACTAATTAAATTTACTCCGAAATAATGCAGTAGGAAGAGAAGTTTGTACAAATCACACCAATTAAATTAACGTTTTCGTTGTAGAATTGCCCAGTATAATAATCTATTTTGCATGAGATAAAGACGGTTTTATGTGGGTATAGGAGTTAAATTATTTCTCTCGTAAATCTAGCAAAAGTTCGAATAGAATTTCTGGAAAAAAAATACCCCGAAACTCATTTATCATCTGTCCGACTAAAAAATTATACATCATTTTTCGTTTTGGCGGCGTGTCAGTAGCGCCTCGGTAATTTAACGCCCAAAAAATACGTATTTTCGCGTTTCGCACCGAAATCAGTCACCCGAACCTCCGACATCTTGAATATAAACGACGTAATTAACGTCTCCGGATTTTCCTTGCCGCGCTTATTATTTGTTATATTCGCCGTATATTTCCGTT